TTTAAGGGTAAGCATAACCCATCAAAATCCAGAGCTGTCAAGAAAAACAGTGTGCGTAAAATTATTTAAATATTTATATTTAATTTGGTAGCTGCTTTTTATCACTTAATTAGAAGCATCACAATTACTAAATTGTGTGGTCTGTTGAGCTGACATTTAAAAGTTTATTTTAAAGTGCAAACTTTTAAAAATCAAAATGTGTAAATAAAGCTCTGTGATTTGACCAATGCTCAAATGCAGAGATTGCATGTGTTGGTTTTGGGAAAGACCCTATTTATGTATGTTGCCTTCTGATGATGACTGGTTGATTATTAATGTCTGGTTGAAGTTGAGTAAGTCACCTAAACTGGGGTTGTTAATTTGGCTAAACAGAATCTGCACAAGCATGAGGCTCTTACCGTTTGGATCGACCCCCTCTAACTCAGAACATTGGAGATAGTCGTCTTCTGTCTGTCTGAGAAAACCAAAAGGTAGTGGGAATAATTCTTAGTTTTAAATAATTCAGGTGGGACTGCAAATTATTTTGATACTGTAAGTCATGTAATGTGTCGACGTCATCTTTTACATACAAGTAGTGATGGGAAGCATGGAACTATTCAAAACTCTCTAACAATTTAAATAAATCACTGATTTACAAAATGATTGACTGTAGCAGCTGAGGACACCCGCTAAATGCAATAAATAAAGTCCAAAATGACACCTTTTACAAACTGATTGTGAATGTTTTCACATGAAAGTGTAATCTATTTAATGTAATCTACAAATCATTAAATATCAAGATAAAGTGTCTGCATAATTTGTGTTGTTTTATTAATATCACACTCCATTTTTTATGTTTGTCACTAAAATCAAGCCTAAACTATAAAACTGACCCGAGATCAGTTAAAACACAGAAATATTAAAAAATATAACGAAGCCTTGTTGTATGGAAATCAAGTGACTTGGCCACTGATTCAACTGAAAGATTCATAAAAGATTCAAAGCTTCATGAACCAGTGTTTCAAAAGCATCTGGCACTACATATAAGAGCTGCTGGCTCACCTGTGTTTGATTGCGGTCTTTTCTTGATCACACTGCCCCATTCCAATCTGTGCTCTACTTTCCTATTAAAAAAAAGGATAATTAAATTTCTCATATACTGTAGAAACAATGTTATTTCATACAAGTAAGGGCAGACAATTTGCTAGAAAAGATTAGGTGATTTATTCAAATGTCCAAGAAATTAAGTGATCTATGTAAAAAAAGCCAATATCAGTGGCTCAGGAGATAAAGCATTGTGTTGAGTTCAAATCCCACTATTGCTTAGATTCAATTGTTGTCAAACTTCCCTAAACACCAGGTTTCAGTGTGAGAGCCATGGTGGTGCAAGCGGCTAAACAGACGTTCTCTGTCAATAAAGCTGTCATGAGAACAAGGGTTCAAATCCCACTTCAGCATGTTGTGATTGCGATCACCCAACAGAGAGACTCTGCCAAAGCATTAGCTGGTTTATAGTAAAATCAAAGGTGAATGATCAAATACTGTATAAGTTCCTTCATATACACAGACAAGATATCTGTGGCTCACAGGTAAGAGCACTGTCTCACGATTCAGAGATTGCTGGTTCGATCCCAGCCAGATTCAGACCCAGAAATAGGAGAGACTCGGCCAAAGCTTTAACAGGTTTATTGTAAAATCACATGCAGGTGAACAGTGAAATATAAGTTCCAGCACATGTTCAGATAAGAGATCTGTGGCTCACAGGTAAGAGCACTGCCTCAAGGTTCAGAGGTTGCTGGTTTGATCCCAGCCAGATCTCTGTGATATGAGTGAGTGTTGTGTGAATGAAGGGGTGAGGATGATTCGGGTCCCCCCCTGAGTCCCAGAGCGATGTCCAGCAGTGGTTATGCTTCTTGATATTAAAAAAAAAAAATTTGCTGTATACAAATTTTGAACCTCCGTCCCTTCCCCACCCGTTTAGGTTACCATCATTTGCTTTCTAGAAGAGTGAGCCGCCAAAAAGAAAATGATGGTAACCTACATGCCAAGTACACAATAAAACACAAACACAAGTAATAAGTCTCACCTGTCCATGAGCAGATGTCCTTCATTACAGCGAATGTCTGTCCACACGTCCCAGAGCTCTGTGTGGTCCAAACACATCTCTTATTCTGTAGGGGAAACACATAATTAATCTAAGAAATTACACAATATTGTACACATAGTTTTAGTTTCACAAACACTCATAATTTAAATTTTGTAAATGTCTAGTTTGGATTTGAACACTTGTCTCAATCAAAGCCTTTTCCCCCAAGAACATGAGTTGAGTCACTAGCGCCACTGTGACTTTCAAACTGATAGCTGGCATTTTGTAAATTATGCCCATTCCACCTGTTTCTGCCAAATTGTTTATAGAATATGAATAGAAAGACATTATATATTTCATAGACAGAGACTTAAAAACACTGGTGGTGAGTGCGTATCTTTCATCTTACCCGTTTGTCTGAAAAACCAAAGGCCAGGAAGTTGAGGGCAATGGCACAGTTAAAGAGTCAAAGAATCCCAGATCTACAAAAAAACAGAACAAGATTAAATAGCACATAAGAAAACGCTACAAAATGAAAACCTTAATGGTCCAAATTAGTGTCAAGTAGGTGGTGTGGGTTTATTTTTCAACATTTCTCAGAAAATCAGTGTGAGAAACTGCGGTGGGAACAGTTGATTAGATGTGTTTAGTCCAAAATTATTTGCATGTAGTTCACATGCAGACGTAATGCTAATTCTTTTGTCTGTAAATAGAAAGTTAATCAAATATAGACAATAACTACATTGAATAAACTTCTTTATACTAAAAGCATTTTTTTTGTGTGTGGTAATGCTTAAAGTAAAAAAAAAAGTGTTTAGGTGGTGTTACTGATAAAAAGAGTGAAATTCTTGAAAAAATTAAAGGGGTTGTAATTTGGCGTACTATTTTTCATTTGCTTTTTAAAAATATTTTTAAGTAGCAGTGAAGCAATTTGTTTACATTTTTATTTACATTAAAAAATGTTGTCCACCAAATCAATGAGGTGTAACTAACATGCAAGAAGTCATTTTGTTGTTAAAACAAAAGAAACAGAAACAAAAAAAAATATCCCTTTAAAATTTTTCCCCCTTTGACATATACATACATATTTTGTTTTTCTTTACCTTTTTAAGAAAATGACATTACCAGCACTACCAAAATATGATAAGGTACTCTTTTTAAGAATAGTTTATAACTAAATTCATTATCAAATATTCACTTATCGTGTTTGCAAATATTACAAAATGGAATCAACTATCATTTTTCAATCAGCCTGACCGCGGCCTGTAAAACGGACACGACCTTCTCCCTGTTTTACACGTTGCTATTGGTTTAAAATTACGTCACGCCCTTTAGGTAAAACGACCAATCCGTCACAAGAGGTGTTACGGTTCTCCACTCTTATTGGTCAGATTCGTCAGTCAATCTAATTGTTTGACAGCGCATAAACACACCCATTTTGCATTGTTTTGAGTGACTAAATTTGTTTTTTGGAATCAAAGTGGATTAAAAGTGGATTAACTGTTTTTCAGTTGTGTGTTTTAGGGATGGGCGATACCACTTATTTTGTTTTTGATACGATACCGATATTTTTCAAGGCAGTATCGTCGATATCGATTAGATACTTCTGAACTAAACTTTTAAATTATGAAATTTATTAAATTATTAAATTACTAAGAGTAAAATGGGTAATGATAAGCACTTAACTTTATGTTTAAAACGCTTTTTAACATTCAATACGCCTTAATTGTAACTTATTAGGTTATATTTTTGTTTAGACATGGTTCAAATGTGTTTTTTGCTTGCACATGATTCAAATCTATAAATACTACAGCTGAACTATGGTCACTTTAGTAAAACCATGGTTCATTTTCATAAGGGACTGCCAGTGACAGGCTGTTGCATGCATAAAATGCAACCTTTTTATTCTGACAGTGTATGATTTCTATTAACATTACAGAACAGAACATGATCAATATTATCTTTCAACGTTCAATTTAAATAACTGTAATTGCACAAACTATGTAAGCTACAATTTCAGTTTGTTTATTGTGAAATAACTCTGTCCTTATGTCCTCTGATAAGCATTGTTCAGGGCTGCCAATCCCAATACTAACTGACTCCATAATATCTTAAGGACTTCGCATTTTCCGTCAACCTGTGTTGTGAGTGAACAGAACCGCAAGTGACAACTAGTTATTTTTGTGGTGTTTCTGTGACTCACATGGACATGGGCCGTGCATCATTTGAAGTTTCTTCTTCTGTTAACAGCTTCAAGTTGTCAATCTGGATGAAAGTGAAGCGCGCTGCTGCCGCCTAGTGGAGCGGATGGAAACCAGTTCTTTAGTTTCTAGTAAAGGGACGTCATCTCTTCACAATGCACATTCTGTAATTCTAATTTGGAAACAAT